TTATGCCCATTCTACACCTAGGGATGATCCTACTTGTGGCTCATCCGATACTCCCTTCTATACCTAAAGCTAATCCTACTTGCAGCTTATCCGAGGGAGTAGTATAAAGTGTAAAAGGTTTACACTTTGGTTGGTTTCCAATCGTACCAAAGTACAACTACAGTGTACCCTTTTACACTTTATACTACTCCCTCGGATAAGCTGCAAGTAGGATTAGCTTTAGGTATAGAAGGGAGTATCGGATGAGCCACAAGTAGGATCATCCCTAGGTGTAGAATGGGCATTATAGCCAAACAATCGAGCATAAAATTTTATCGGAAGAAAGAAAGGAAATAATAATATATTAATGAGACCAATTTTTAATGCTTGTTCCATAAAAGTTTAAAACGGGATTTAGATTTTCAGTTTAACTTCATAGCGTTCTTTTGCTTTTTTATGAAGAACATCTCAGCAATTTCGCGTTTCCGTGTGTGTTTTTCATCCTTTTCTAAAAAAGAGATGTTATCAGCGCGTATGTCGTTAATATCGAACAGTCGAGGCCTCTTTTCCGCGATGCCAATTGGTTTTCTCGAAGCGCCGGTGCGCTTCACTTCTCTTTTAGATTCGTAGTAAATGAAGATTTGCAATTTAGAAATATGTATACAATTGTATACACCAACTATTGAGGTAAAATCTCTAATCTTAGCAATTAGAATTTAAGTAACAACGATTTTTGTTCCCATACATTCTCTCGATTGAACAGAATTAATCGTTAATTTAATCAATACCAATAAGTCCGCGGAATAATACGCAAAACGTAGCAACAGTCACGGAACAAAGTAATGTACAATAAAATATTAAGTACGGAATTTTCCATTGCGTAGACAGGCCAACGAATTCTCAACGTTTGTTTTTGTTGTTTTTCCACTCGGCGCGGTATCGTACGACGATTAAGCGGGCCAACGAATTCTCAACGTTTTTTTGTTGTTTTTCCACTCGGCGCGGTGACGTACGATGTTTTTGCGTGCCATCGTGTACTCGAAGGTCGCCGCATTACCACTCGCTCGCCGAACGTCGCGCCGGCAGGCAGTGGCGAGAGTCGCTCCGTGCGTGTTATTACTTTTGCGTTATTTTGCGTTATCGGTTTCCAAGACTCGATCGTGACGAACGAAGGGATAAAACGCTATTGATTTGCACACCTTTATCAGTAACAAGTAACGTTCCTCGATTAATTATTGAGTTTCTACAGTTTGTAATGAGAAACGAATTGCGTGCCCGCGCCCCTTCGCACACAGTATTATTCTTTCTCGATACGCGTTCGCGACAAGTGCGGGCAAAAACCGCGATCGCTCTCTGCGGACAATCAGTGATTGATATCGTGCGCTCGCTGAATTCCCGCGATTTGCCACTGCTCGATGTAATCGAACAGTTCGTAGTGGCAATCGGACTCAGTGACAATCGGACACACTGAAAAAGAAGTGGCATTTGGATACAGTGTCAGTGACAAGTGACTTTACAAACGGAAGTGTGAATTCGCGAGCGAAGTGGCACTTGGATACAGTGACAGTGACAATTCGCTTAACAAACGCAAGTGCAAATTCGCGAGTGTGTCGGAGCTGACAGCTGAGACAACGACACCTGAGAGGAGGACACCTGAGTGGAGGAGGAGGCATCGGGCGCCATTGCAGATACAACTCCGCCGCTGCGCGTCGTGTCGGTGAGTGAAAAGTTTTTTAATAAAGTAACGGAATCTACATTTTTAGATCGTAGATTGTAGATTGATTGACATTTCGTAGATTGCTTGATATTTCGTAGATTGATTGACATTTCGTAGATTGATTGACATTTCGTAGATCCGTTACGTTAAAATGAATAGGTTACAAACAATTTTACGTTTTATTTAATATATTTCATTTATCGATAAAAAATGATATCATAGAGCTCTACAAATCAGAGTATGTTCAGCTCATTTGTTATGTTGAAAATCGGTGAAATACATTACAGAAATTATGCGAAATAATATATGACGAATATTAACGATGTATTCGGCCAACTAATCTCTCGTAACCTATCCATTTTTAATTAATGAATTGATATATGTATATAATAAAATAACATGACGTAAGATTCCAATATATTTTGTCGAGAATGCGTAAGTTTGAAATTATTTTTATACTTTATTTGAGATTATCGTTTAACTGTAATATTCAATTATAATATCGGTGTCACTCGTGCGACAAGTTGCTTTTTTCTGGATCTTGCGTCATTTATTTTGCATGTCTCGCGATACTCTCAAGATGCGTTTAACATACGAGTAAATACACGCATCTCGTATTTTTGCGGTCGGTTTTCGCGGTCGGTTTTCGCGATCAGTTTTTCACAACATATTCAAGAAATTATTAATTGTTTAATTTCATCCATATTATAAATTTTAATTGTTTTATCGCGAAATAAATTTAAAATAAATATAACGCAAAGTAACATTTTTTCTATATTTATGTGCTTCAATTTTATATTAAAAAATCGAGTCACGAAGATACAGTCAATACTTTTGATAACAGAAGTAAAATTACACATCGATCAGGATTTAGAAATTAAATTTTGTAAAATTAAGTTTCTCCTTTAAACAACTTTTCTCCTGGTCATGCATTTTTCGATACAATCGTCGCTCGCATATACATAGTTCGAACCGTACGAAATATTTGTCGGTGACGATAACCGACTATGGAAGGAGTTTTCTTCCTTCCTGATCTCTGGTCAAAATGACCAGATTGTATGGCCGGGATGCGTCTTGCATGAATACATGCATAGTCACACGCATCTTTGTGTTTTCGCGGTCGGTTTTCGCGATCGGTTTTTCAGGAAAAATTTTCAATTAATTATTTAATTTTATCTGTATTATAAATTTTAATTTATCGAGGAATATGATTAAAATCACTCTAACGCGAAATAAATTTTATTCTATATCTACTTGAATTTCGAATTCAAAAATCAAGTTACGAAGAGGCGGTCAATATTTTTGAACAAATAACGGACGTAAAAATAAATTTGATTCGTATGTACAGTAAAGTTTTTGAATTAATATTCTTCTTTAATTAACCTCTCGTGGTCGTGCATTTTTCGATACAATCGTCGCTCGCATTTAGTTCGAACCGTACGAAATATTTGTCGGTGACGATAACCGGCTATGGAAGGAGTTTTCTTCCTTCCTGATCTCTGGTCAAAATGACCAGATTGTATGGCCGGGAGCAACGAAAGGTACGTCCAATCTGGCCCAACGATGGACTAAATACGACGAGGTAAGTGGTCCAATATTGGCCACTCTGATGAAGTACCTAAGTAAGGTGCTGTACGAAGTATAATATACTTCGATTTCTTTTGATTT